ACTTAACCTAATATAATGTACCAAGCGATAGCGCGCGTTTTACGACTCTGAGCTCAGCATGTCTGACGAGTTTTCGAGTTACGTGGCTTTCGCCGCGTGTTACATTTGGGCAACGACTTTCTCGGGCATGGATCCTACTTCCTAAGTCCTTCCCTGAAGCGGTGTCGTTGTTTCGTTAGCGGTATGACGCAATGATGAATAACAGACGCGCGCGCGCGACGCGGCTAATGGACTGTGCATACAGCACAAAAACTGAGCAGGGCACACGCACGCATACGTGTGCACTTTCGATCGTTCTTCTCGGGTTCGTACACATAGTCAACTTAGCCCTTCACTCAGTAAAATAAATTTCGGCCCCGGCGTACCGAGAAGCGGTAACGTTTCTTCTCTTCGACGAAAGTAGGAATACATAAGGATGACCCGAATTAAGATCTAAGCGTTCTTTTCTCAGCGCAATTGCACGAACATTTTTAAATCGTGACATTTTCGAACATTTAAAATTTATACGGAAGAGAGGTGTCCTGATTTTTTCGTTACGTCACTTTCTCGTTCAATTTGAAATGAGATCCGATAGTAAGAGCTCATGATTTTTTCAGACCTGTTATGAAGGAATAATGAAGTTTAAAAGTTTAAATAAATAAAATGGGATGAATTTTTAATATAGCCATTTATTTATAATGAGTTCTAAAAGTAACATTCTATTAAAAAAGATGCTTCATAACTCTTTGTAATATTTCATAGTGTAGCCGGTGAATATACCTAATATTCGAATAAATAAATAAAAAATGAATGAAAATATTCATTCGAATACACTTCTTTTTTATTCGTCAAAAACGAATAAATACTTTTTCATTCAATTTGAATGAATATTTTTTGAATATTAAGAATATTTTTGTATTCACTTTTACTCTGTATTATCTGCACATTATAGCTTGCAAGCCTGCAACAGAAAACAGAAATCTATAAAAACAATGGCTACGATTACCGCGCGCTTAGTCCGCCATCTATACAATGGGCGTCTTTGTTTATACCTATAGGTTAACAAAGATATTTTTATTGGAAATAAATATTATATCTTGGAATTTAATGTCCATAGACCATAATGAACGACGCGCGAAGATATCTTATAACATGTTTATAACATTACTGTGACGGAATATGTATGACGTTCTATCAAATAGATATTTATAAATTAAAAATGTATTACTTTCTAAAATAGTTTTCAAAATTTTTAAATTGCTTTCACAAAATTTGAATATTACAATGACAAAAATAAATAAAAATCACTTTTTTTTTTACTTAAAGTCATTAAAATGTCGGTTATAATTAAGGCGTCGCTTATTGGAGCTTTTTTTCAGTTTATATTTTGTTTGAATGAATATGAATACTCGTTAAATATTCATAGTTTTTTTGTAAATAAATATTTTTTGAAAACCCAAAATTTTGAATGAATATGTGATTACACTTTTTTTTATGTGAAAATTTTTAACAAATACAATTTGGAGCTCAATTACAATTTTTTGTATTTATTAGAAGGGAATCCCGTTTGCCTACAGTATCGTTTACCTACATCACTTTTGCCGGCAGTTCGTTTGCACATAAATATTATTGCCTACAGTTTGATTGCCTACATGTACTTTTGCACACAAATAAAAATTTTAGAAATAGAATTACTTTTATTTTTTTATTAGAATTACTTTATTTCTGAATAATTAATTTAATTTAAAATGAATGTTAGTTCAACATCTTAACACTCGGAATTATAAGGCGCTTCGTATTTAAAGTTTGAATATTTAAAACAAGTTCCGTTTCCAATCATATTGTTTATCACACGCGCGTATACAAGCGTATCTCACTACACACATCGGTTATTCGCACATATCGGTGCGAAGAATGTTGCTACGGTCTCGGTCTAAAGGCTTAGTCTAAAGGCTTAGTCTAAAGGCTTAGAACGCTCGCACGGAATGCAAGAGATCCGGGTTCGACTCCCGGCCGAGGCAATATTTTTCTTTAGTTGGAAAATAATTTGTGATTTGTTTTTTTCGGCAGCGAATTTGAGAATAATCCAAATTAAGTAATTATGCTAAAAATCAATTTAATTAATTATAAAGTCAAAATAAAAAATTAATTTAAATGGAGTAAAAATTTTTGAAAGAGCTACAAAGAGTTGTATGAAGTGTCGAAAATAATCTTCAAAAAATATCAAATCGATTTTGAAGCTATAAATATCAATTTATATACTGTTATTTTTATTTTATTATTTATTGTTATCTTATGCATTTGCCATGTTATTATCTCGCTGCATTCTTTGTCAAATTGTATATTGAAAAAAGAATTTAGGAATAACTATCAAGTGTTGAGTAAAATATTTTCAGTCAAATGTTCAGTTAATATTATCAAAAATAATTTTCTTTTTCTAAATATTTAGTAATTATTGTACCAAACGATTAAGTATATTATTATTTAAGAAATTTATAAAATATTCGAAAAAGTAAAATTATTGTTGATTATATTAATCAAGTTTTTTTGATTAATATAATTAAGAATAATTTTACTTTGATTGAAATTAGTTTACTTAATATTTGATAGCTATTATGAGACTATTTTTCAGTGTATTTTTTGTTGCTTCTGATCACCAATTGTTAATCACGTCGCGCTGTTATTTGTAATTTGATAATTCCTTGTCGCTTCTTCATTGATATATCGCGTATTTTTTTACCATCTGCATTTGCTTGCGCATCATTTCATCGTGAAACTGTTAATTATCTTCGTGCCGTAACCAGCGCGACAAATCCGTATCGTCGTAAGTGTTACGTGTGAAAAAAACAAATGTGCGTGACAATAAGTTCATATCCAGCTGAGTGGATTATTTGTCTCATATCTAGCGTGATATACCGTCTCTTGTTTCATTAATATCTCTCGCGCAATCAAGAAATAAAAATATAGTCATATATCCTTTGCGATGAGCTCGGATGTTTCGGAATGTTTTGTAAAGTGTTTTCAAGACACAGTGCAGTCTGTGTTTTGACGATTGTTATAATTTTTTTCTCATTTTCGGCTTTTCGGTTGGCTGATCGGAAAAAGCAGTTTCTGACCACTTAAAATTCTGATAATTTTTTTTACGTTTGCGCATTAATTTTCCTTTGGTTTCTAAAAGAGATCTGCGGCAGAAGGGACAGATTTGATGATTTATTTATTTTTTATTTATTTTTTTTAAAGAATACATTATGCGTTTAACAATTTTGATTGGTTATCGATGGACAAGTGAAATCTGTCCATTTTTAGTAGAATATATTATAGGGATTTTATATGTAGGATTTTATACGTTGTTGTATAAAACTATTGTCACGTGTTTAAAATAACCACGTGTTTGTACAGAACATCGTGCTTGTTCTAGTTCGCTAACGCGAAGTACGAAAGGGAAGATCTTCACGTGGTCATCATGATATTAAAATATAGAAATTTTATACATTATTTTCTTATCTTAAAACGTGTTATGTTAAAATGGCTAAACAGTGTATCTTTAATTATTATTGGATTGGTTGGGTTGGGAACCGAATGGTTCCTTATTGTGATAAGCAAGAGTTTTATAAAACAGGTTTGAATCTCTGTTAAATATGATATAATATTTTTTGCAATAAATTTTTTACAGTGTTCAAAAAATATTCATTAGCATCGGTAATCTAGATAATCTAGATAATAATCGGTAATCATTAGAATCGGTAATTCATCGGTAATTCATTAGAATCGGTAATCTAGATAATCTAGATAATAATCGGTAATGAGCTTTCGAGTTCCTCTAACGCCTAATAATAATAATAATAATAATCGGTAATCTAGACATGAGATTCCTTTTTTACTTTTTCACTTTTTCGTGTAGTGTACATTAGTTTATAAATTTAGGAACGCTTGCAATTGTCTCGTATTTTACAAAAACTTAAATATCTCGATGAAGAAAAAAATTGTGATAAAATTTTCTCAAATTCTTGCAAAAGTGTAACTTCATTATATACCTTTTTTATAATTGACAGTTATAAATTTCTAATTTTTTTTAAATTAAAATTTTTATTTTATAAATTCGTAAAAAATACCAGGAATATTTTCTGGTATTTTTTATTACCAATTTTTAGTATCAGAATATCACTGATGTTCTTCATAATTTTTTGTGGATTAGGAAAATAGGAAAAAAAATTATGATAAAATTTGTTTTATCGTCATTATTGCAATAATAAGGATAGGGAGTAAAAATTTTTTTTTCATAATGGTTTGACAATCGATATATGTTGAGTTTAATTTTGTACAGAGGCAATTTTCGTATACATAATTCTGCTACGCACTTTATTGATTTTATTTCTAAAATTTAATTTTTTGAAAAGATATTGAAAAAAACATTCAAATTTTCAAAAAACACTTATTTTTTAATCTTACAAGAAGGTTCATTTTTTTATTGATTCACTATTTTTTCACTTTTTCGAGAATAAAATTTATTTTTCTCACTGTTTTTGATAACTCTAGCCGCTTCCATTCCTGATAATATTAAATTGCTTGTTAATTGAATTTGTTAATAATCGGGCAATGAGAGCATTAATACATTGCGATAGTTGGAGGGCAATTAATACAATATATATTATTGACACACAATTTCACATTAGATTAAGTAAAAATTAATTGAATGATGTGTGATTGATGTTTGAATTCTTGATTGATGTTTCAGTTTCTTTCAAACCAACTTCAGCAATGTTGCGTATAAATAATTTTTTTTT